TATATATATATATGGGTAAATTACATACACACCCCTGAAGTATGCTTAAATAACTTTAAAGCCCCTGATAAACTCTAATGGGATTGATAATGCATTAAATACGTTATTACGATAGAGTTCTAACGGACTATTTGTTTCAGGAAGTGGTGGAGACAACAAATAGTTATGGGTGATTTAAGAAAAATTAGAGGAGCAATGTCACCCCATAACTCCCCATAACTCTATGTTATCTCCACGACTAGCTAAAAGTAATAGTCCATTAGAACCCTATCGGAATAATGTATCCAATGCATTATTCCGTTAGAGTTTCTAACTACGTTTCAGGGGGTTGAGTGTAATTATCCATACCATATGGACTTTAAAATTATTTAAGCATACATCAGGGGTGTGGGTGTAATTTACCATATATATATATATGAGTTAATTGCATAGACCCCCCTGTGTTATTTCTCGGAAGCAAAAAACCCCCCCGGAAAAAAAAATTAGCATATGACCCCCTATGTTGTGTTTTAGTCAGCCCACCGCCCCTTTGTGTGCACTGACTCGTTGACTTACGTGAAATGACAGAATTGCCCTTAATAAAAAATAAAGCAAAAAAGACCTCAATACCCAAAATAATAAAATCCAAAACTCACAGCAAAAAAGACCTCAAGTCTGTAATTAATTTAATTAAATTTTATTACACAATTATTTTTAATTTTTTTATGTGTAGTTATTTTTAATTTTATACACATTAATAATTTTGTAATTATAAAAATAAAATATAAACAGAAATTAAATATATATAGTTGTATTAAAATATTTTATATGTTTTATATTATTCTTTTATTATATTTTAAGTTAAAAAAAAGGAAAAGGAAGAAAAAGTAGTCTTCTTCCCCCGATGCACCCCAACAAACACCCAACTCAACCCTTCTTCTCCCCACGCCGCTGCCCAACCACCGGCTCACCCCAAAATGCCCCGCCGCAGATGCTGCCACTTGTGGTGGCGGCGCCGTCACCATCAGCCCATGGTGGAGGCCACCGCCGAAGACCACGGTCGCCATGGACGGCGGCACGAATTCCCTCGCCATGGGGTTCAATTTCGAGAGCATTTCCTCCAAATCCCTCATCTCCCTCTTGAACCCCTCTCCTCCATCATCGCCGCCCCCGTTAACTTTCACCTCCTCCACGTGCTGACGGCCGTCGTCGCCGCCGCCGCCGTTAATTGTGTTTCCAGCTGATGATGGTGGTGGCCGTTGGATACTTTCTGCTGGGCCAGGTTTTCCGTTTAATTTGCCCGGAAAACACTTGCCCCTTTCGAATCTACTTCGAACGCAAAGTTCTTGAAGAACTTCGAAGAAACCTCTGCTTCCAAGGATGACCGCCACTGAGGCCGCCGCCGCACGAAGATGAAGAAAACTCATTTTCTGGGCCTCCATTTTCTCCGTTCAATCTCACCGACCACGAGCCGCACACCTCCGCCGCGGCATGCCTCAATTGGAAGAAGATCTGAAAATGTAGTGGTGTTGGGGTGATGAGCAGCGGTGGCCTGAACGCTCCGACTTGGGTTGAATTCAGTTGTGAGTTGGATGGGGGAGGGGGAGGCGGGGATGGAGGAAGGGGGGTGGGGATGGAGGAAGGGGAGTGGTTCAATTATTTGGGGAAGAAGACGATTTATTCTTTTTTTTTTTTCCTGTATTCTTTATATTTGTTTTGACAATTTTGATAATTACAATTTAGTCCTATAACTTTAGATTATTTATAATTAAATCAATCTGGGTTTTTTTTACAAAGGGTTTTTATGTCTTTTCCTGTCCTAAAATGTCCTAAAACGCACGCCCAGCTGCATGAACCGCGAGTGTATCCCACGATTCGCTCGTAGGGTCCTTATTGTCATTGACTTCCTTTCATAGGGGGGTATTTGCTAATTTTTTTATCCGAGGGGTTTTTTTGCCAATTAGAGATTTCACAGGGGAGCCGAGTGCAAATACCCCATATATATATAGATCTTACTTTTTATAAAGAAAATTATTTTATTAAAAACCAAAACTGCAGAACTTCTCAAATCGCCAACATATGTCTGTTACAACAGATTAATCATATGTACTTAACTTTACAATTATCGAAAATCAAAATGCTAATCCGCAATATATCGATCGCTTGTGATCTTTACATGTATTTCAACTAACTAAATTAAATTTATGATCAAGAATTAAATACATGTATAGATTTTCATCAGGCTTCATTCACCTACCCTGTGGCAGTGTAGTGGTGATTTCATTTGCCGAACTTGCGTACGCGCTAGTCGAAGAAGTATCGGAGGGCAAAACATCTCTTTCAACGAAGAAACCGGGCTGCTTCGGCTGCTGAGTCAACTCAGCTTCGTTTTCCAGCATGTACACAATCGAAGACATGTTTGGCCTATCTTCCGGATTATTTTGCACACACAAAAGTCCGATGTGGAGTGATCTCAGCATCTCGGACACGTAACTCGACTCGATTATGTTGTTATCGAGTAGTTCCAATGATTTTCCTTCTTTGTACAGTACCCATGCCTGCCATAAATAAACATAAAAATATTAATATATACAGCTAAACCTCTATAAATTACTTCATCCGTTCCTAAATATGTGTCGTTTTTCACCTTGACACGAGCCTTAAGAATCTCAATAAATATGTCTTGATTTTAGGAAAATATATATAGATAGACCAAAATACCCTTGTTTACTAATTAATGCAGAAAGAATGTTGGAGAGTTAATAAGGGTATAATTGAAAAATATGTAATTAATGCAGCATTGGAATTGTAAAGTGACAGATAATATGTTACAAAAAAAATAGATATTGTGGAACAGAGGGAGTAATTAATATTTAGGGTAAATTACAAACACCCCCCTGAGGTATGACCAAATTATAAAAACACCCCTCTTGTTTGGATAATTACAACCACCCCCCTCAACTCATCAAATTTAGTGGAATCTTCGAGATTATATGGAATATTATCACTTTTGTACCCGTTTTATCCCATTCAAACTCTACATTATGAAGCAATTTGACCATAATATGTGACTTTTAGCTTGTATATATCAGTTTGTGGTGCATCGGAGACTGTATTTTTTACACAAAGAGTACAAACTAGAGCACATTTCACGGAATCTAGATGAATATGTTGAATTTGGCACGATAAAGGTAAGAAAAAATCATAGTTGAGGGGGGTAGATGTAATTATCCAAACAAGAGGGGTTTTTTTGTAATTTGACCATACCTCAGGGGGGTGTTTGTAATTTACCCTAATATTTAATACAGTCGGGACTAGCAAAATTTTACTAATTTCGCGAAAATACTAAATTATCGAACTAATAATTTAGTAGGTTTTTAATGAGTCCGGACCGAAGAAACTATTACTTAAGCGAGGTTATTAATTTATTGAGGTTCTACTGTACATATATATATTTTTAATTTGACATCATAAAACTCACATGTCCAAGAAGGTTTCGTTGATCCATGTAGGAATATCCTCGATTTCTTTTGCCGCTCATAATTTCCAGCACTATCACACCGAAGCTATATACATCTGATTTTACCGAGAACAAACCATCGAATGCGTATTCCGGTGACATATAGCCGCTAAACAAAGTTTTCGCATTAATCAGAAAATTATTTATATATACATATGCACGGAAAATTGAATCTTGTTGTGTTTATGGAATAGAGAATCTTACTAAGTCCCGACAACTCTGCTAGTGTTAGCTTCAATCTCATTCACTCCGAAGCTTCGAGCCAAACCAAAGTCTGATATTTTTGGGTTCATATCCGTATCTAGTAATATATTGCTAGCTTTGAGGTCTCTGTGGATAATTCGAAGTCGAGAATCTTGATGAAGATAAACGAGCCCCCTTGCAATACCACATATGACTTGAAACCGTTTGGGCCAATCGAGTAGCTTACTCATGAAAGGATCTGTCGAAAAAGCTTATCTTCGTTATTATGTATTTGTTACACCGATACTTTGTGTGTGTGTGTGTGTGTATGTTACAATGTAAGAGAAATCCTCACCGAATAAGATCAAGTCGAGGCTTTTATTCGGCATGTACTCGTAAACCAACATGGTTTCCTCTCCTTCAACACAGCATCCTAAAAGCTTCACGAGATTTCGGTGCTGAAGTTTAGCGATAAAGATAACTTCATTCTTGAACTCTTTGATTCCTTGCAACGATGTTTTCGATAACCTTTTCACTGCAATTTCTTGCCCACTTCCCAATGTACCCTATAATATCGGTCGAATCATGTGCACGTAAAATAAAATGTAAGAACTGAATTTTGAGAAATTAAGCTCTTATTACTACACAATTGTACCTTGTAGACAGGTCCGAAACCACCCTCTCCGAGCTTATTGTTTGGTGAAAAACTTTCGGTAGCTTTTGATATAGTCGATAAGTCGAACAACGGAAGCTCCAGGTCTTCGTTCCGTCCTGCAACATACAGTAGAACCTCAATAAATTAATACTCGATAAATTAATAACCTCGCTTGAATAATAGTTTCTCTCGGTCCCGACTCGGTGAAAATATGTTAAATTATTAACTCGATAATTTAATAATTCGCTAAATTAATAGAATTTCTCTAGTCTCGACTGTATTAATTTATAGAGGTTCAAGTGTAATTCTTCTTCATTTTTTATTTTTTTCATTTCGCTACATTAGCCCAATATAGCAAATTTTAACTAACCGGTTTTCCTCAGCTTCGCATATATTTTCTTTCTCGTGTATATGCACACTGCGAAGCTCGTGCAGAGGAGAATCATTCCCAGCGACAAAGTCAAACTCACTATTAATATTTTATGGTCCTTCCTTTTCGAATCTGCAAAATCATACTCCAAGCATTAGGATGAAACTCTTAAAACACGAAAAATTATACAATTAAAGAACTTCATCGTATCGAATCAAGACAACAACAACAACAACATGTGCATAATACAATTAAAACCTCTATAAATTAATACAGTCGGGACTAGGAAAATTCCATTAATTTAGCGAAATATTAAATTATCGAACTAATAATTTAGTAGGTATTAACTTTACCAAGTCGGGACCAAAAGAAACTATTATTTAAGCGAGGTTATTAATTTATCGAGGATCTACGTACTGTACTTACCTAGTTCAGAAGAAGCCATTCTAATGTAAATGTCTTGTCCTTCATCATACAACTCTTTGATATCAACGAGGTCGCCGAACCAAGCCAAACATCCGCTTCCGCCGTTTCTTATATCCAAATTCGTGTAAGCCACACAAGAACAGTTTTTCCGGCAAAATTCTTTGCATTCGTCAAGATTCATACTCGAATTAAACCACGAGAACTCAGTATCCGGCAATTTAATTCCGGAATACTCCACGAATCCATCGGTCCCGCAATCCAACGCCACCCTTCTCTCACAACCGCTCGACCAATCCGTAGCCACCCACTCCACTGGATTTCTCGGAACGAATTTTTCCAAACATCCACATATGGGACTGTTTTGAGCATCGCAGATTCCGTACACGCCACACT